CCATAGATAGATAGATAGATAGATAGATAATGAAAAGAGTAGGATAGATAGATAGATAGATAGATAGATAGATAGATAGATAGGAAGGGAATGAGATTGGCAGGATAGATAGATAGATAGATAGATAGATAGATAGATAGATAGATAGGAAGGGAATGAGATTGGCAGGATAGATAGATAGATAGATAGATAGATAGATAGATAGATAGATAGATAGATAGATAGATTGTAGAAATTTAAATTGATGAGACTTTGCCGCCAATCTAGCATTGCCCTTAAATTCTTAAAATCTAGGTAATATAAATTAAAAATTAAATACTACTTCAGCACTCATAGGATATCTTTAAGTGTCTCGAGAGATAAGATCAGACGGGAAAAGATGTATCGACATAAAATAAATTGAGATAGATAGATAGATAGATAGATAGATAGATAGATAGATAGATAGATAGATATTAACAGAAGAACATTTCAAAAATAAATAGATAGATACATAGATAGATAGATAGATAGATAGATAGATATGAAAAGAGTGAGAACGATAGATAGATAGATAGATAGATAGATAGATAGATAGATAGAAGGCAGCAATGAAGTAAGAATTACACAAAGTAGATCAGAATTCGAAACTGCAGAGGTTTGTATTTGATTTCGTGCCGCTAGCAGAAGTTGAATGTCTGTGAACCGATATAAAGAAAATAAAACGAAGACTGGAGTAGAAAATGAATGGCCAATGTTTACTGACGCACGAGGGCTTAATAACAAAAGCGATGAAAACATTAAAAAAGAAAAAGCAAGTAAAGTAATGTCGTCGTAAACATCACTTAGGTACCATTAATTCCTAAAGGACGAAACGCGGTCACATAAATTTGTTTTCCACATTGTTATTAATTTTCCTAATATATAAAATATATATGTCATTTTCTCCCATACATACACACTTATATATATATATATATATATATATATATATATATATATATATATATATATATATATATATATATATATATATGTATATATTATAGATGGCGGTTTATTAGAAAGCGCTCAATATCAGAGATAGAGCTATTAGCTATGAGTTACTTACATTATCATTGTCTCCAATCCCCCTACAACATTACTATCACATCACATCTACTATTATCATATAAACCCGTCATAATTATTAACGTAAACTACCCCCTCCCCTAGCATATTAAATACCACCATAAAAATAACCAATAAGTATTACAAAACCGAAATTTCTACCAGTTACATATACACAGTCATCAAAAACAAGCAAATAACCAACTTTAAAATAATAACTAATAAACTTTTTTTTAAAACTAAAAATAAAAATAATAGTAATCTTTACTTAACATAATTTTACACAGACCCCACCACACGTATAAACGTCCATGCGGGGAAATATTATTCAGCGAAAAAATAGAAAAATAATCTGGTTGATGACATGTATACATTCACGAGACATTCATGAGAAGTTTTCGCTACACTTCCAATCTTTGAATTTCAACATACAAATGCGTATGTATTGACACAACACCACCCATATATATACATATGTCAGATCTCAAACTGTCCACATATGTTTATATATGTATGAGTCCCGGTGGACTTGCAAGTGTGTATGTGTGTCTGCGTACCTCATCGGGTGTACGGACATGCATCTATGTTTGCGTTAGCACGATGACATCACGACGACGATTCCCCCCCCACTCCCATAATAACACAAATACACGCAATCTACATAAACCCAAATTTTTTAAAAATTAATCAGTTTGTCTGGCGATCGCAAAAGCGTGAAACCCAGAATCACAAACTCACATCAATCCAACCAAAATATATATATATATATATATATATATATATATATATATATATATATATATATATATATATATATATATTAATAGAAATCTTATAAGTATAAGAAACTATTCTCGCTTGGAAAACCTTCGGTGTGTTGATTTTGAACAATGAAACCAATATCAAAGGGAAAAAAAAGTATAAAAAAAGAAAGAAGCAGGAACATGTACGTTAACCGAAAATAATCGTCCGGCATAGGATTTCAAGGCCCAAAGAAAAAAAAACCGATGTGACTACCCAAAATAACTAAATAAAGTAACTAAATACAATGAGTAGAGCAGACCTAGTTAAACCCAGAGAGCCAGACAAACCTACCAATGTTTCACCTAAGCGGATCCTCAGGAAATTTGGCTTCTCTAGGTTATATATATATATATATATATATATATATATATATATATATATATATATAATATTGGCCTCCAACTTAAAAAAAATTTTATCGTTAAATTAATATGAAAGGCCAAGGATTTTCATTATGTATGCCCGGATTGATAGGGTCTCTATTGGTAGCAGTCCTGCTTTGGCAAACATTTTTTGTTGAATATTATGAGTGCTTATTGTTTGAGTAATGTCGTATATATACATCGGTTATGTCTATTATACTTTTTCTATGTTTGATGCCATCCCTCTTTGGGATGGCATCGACCGAGGTAGAGGAGGGAAATTCGCTTCCTTTTCTAGATGTTTTAGTGCAATGTAAGGACAAATTTATCACTAATGTTTATCGTAAGCCAACGTTTACTGCTTTATACACTAGATGGAATTCTTTTATTCCGCGTTCTAGAAAGGTCATCCTAATTGTCACATTAGTCCATCGTGGCATGCTCATATACTCTCCATGCACTCTCCAGCAGGGCTGGGATAAGATTAATTGCATTTTATGTAATAATGGCTACTAATGTCGTTAAGCGAGTGATGGAACGTCTATCTCCAATTTACTTGAAATTGCCATGGCTTGGTGGAAAATGTCAGACTCTTATTGATAGAGTTTCTAACTCAATTTCTTCCACTTTTTTTACTGCCAACTTATGTGTTGTCATCGGGACTTGCCCTATTTTTTCTTTCCTTTGTAAAGGATCGTTTTTTTATCTGAAAAAAAATTCTGAAATTTATGAATTCAAATATCAATGCGAACCTGTCTAAGGTTGGAAACTCGGTTGGGTCAAAACGTACCTGCATTTATTACCTTTAATCATCATAATCGTACTCGTGTTCCGCAATCTACGTATGAACGTGCGATTAGACAACAGCTTTTCGAGAAAGAGCTTTGCTCTTCCAAATTTTCTATCAACTCATTCTGTTTTGAATAAGCCTCCTTTCCAAGCACCATTTCCAAGTTTTGGAAGCTGTGTGTATTCAATTACAGCAACTTTATTTATGTAAGCAGAAGGGGACTTTTCTTTGGTCACGTCATTTATTTGAGGATCGTGAATATTAATTTATTTCTCATTATACACTCCCGAAGGAGTAATTACAACTTTTGAAATTACGTATATTTTAATCGTTAATTTACATGTCTTAGACGTACTCCAAATCTTGCTCCATATTACTTATGTATTCATAACGATTTTCATACATTCATTTTGCCAAAGTGGATCCCTGAAGAAGTGTTGGCCGCACGGCGCCTCGGTTAAAAAAAAAAAAAAAAAAAACGAGCACTAAACCGTGTTTGTTTAAACCTAAGTGTTAATGAGGAAGAAATCACTCTAAATCGCTTTAAAAAAATTGGTGACGCCTGAGTCGTTGCGGATGGTGACTAAGACACACAGATCGGCACTACAGTGAAATATGGACAGCCCGCTATATTTCTGATTGTAAAACGGTATCTTTAACCTGACCTTTGAAGTCGCGTGTGAATCATTTCGCTAATGCCAAAAATCCTTTTTAGAACCTCTCTCTTTTAAATGGGCGTACGGCTTTATCACGTTGAAGCACTGGTTCGAAGTTAAGCAACGTCTAGCTTGTTCAGTACATAGATAGGTGTCTACTTAGGAATACCAGATGGATATACTGGCTAATGGCTCGGAATTCTTAACCGGAGTGTCGTAGTTCAATTGCATTTGGGTTCATTATATTCGTTTACGCGAAAATGCCCTTGGGAAATCCACAATTTTTCCCTTCCAACAGTTATGGGTTGATTAGCAAGACTTTTATCAGTAAACGATTTTTATCTCCGCTCCCCACATATGCACATCAAAAAAATTCATAAAACTAAAAGTACATTCTGGCTTTAACATCTTCCGCGGTGTAGAGGTGTATACAATTTTGTCTAAAATATCTTTTCCAGACACGGACGAATATACACGTTCCAAACATAACGTTTAAAAACAACTACAGATGTCGATCTTGAAATTTTTTATGCTCTTGGGACCTTGAAACGAGTCCAGTTGCCAACTCATGCGTCAGGTTTTAGCCACAGCTCGGGTACTTCAAGGTGTCTCAGTTTATTAGTTACTATATTAAAAAAAAATCACTGAAAATGACGTTTTTTCTCGATATTAATTGACGGGAAGAGGTTAAATAACATACAGAGGGTTGAAAAGCCGTAAGATTTGAATCAATCGAACTTTTCAATGGAAACCATGATCTTATTTCTTGCCAAACGTACTAGGTACTATTTAACGCATACTTATAAAATACGAAATACCGACGTTTACATATTAGTAATTCTGCTTACAAAGTATTTAACTGCTAATCTCAGCTTGGACAAATCGATTCATCTGTTTCTCTTTGAGTCAACGTATGCTATTTTTATGTCATTTCATTTATGTTATTGTGTGTTAATGTCGATCTTTGTGGAGAGTATATGGAAAATCAATAATGCTTGGCCATCAGACAACTAGAAAAGTTTGAATATTCAATGAAATTGCCTGTATTTCTTGTTTGGGACAGAGTCGTTGCAACAGGATGCAAATGCGACATTTGACTTTCGTTAGTCCAACTCAGCTACGCAAACAGCACGCGTCAGAGAGACGTAAAGCAAGATTAATTCATGCTTGAATTGCACACAAAACCAATTTCTTTTTGCTGAAGTTTGTAATTGGATGTCTCCGCTCCCAGCTCAGGACATCACAGCAGGAGATTAGAAATGACCAATTGTCCTATTTGCACCTTAGTCTTTTCTGCAATCAACTTCTTTTATCCTCCCAGCGGGGAGGACACTTGTCAGGGGAGCAAATGAAGTAAGGTGAAATAGGGGAAATAGAAGGGAAAGAAAATTGAGGAAATGACTGGAAGGTGGAGTTTAAATAGAAGGAGGGAAAGGTGTAAGGATGGAAAGATGAGATAGATAGATAGATAGATAGATAGATAGATAGATAGATAGATAGATAGATATGAACAAATCAAGATATGAATATATATGAACAGACCAATATAGATAGATAGATAGATAGATGTATAGATATATACAGAATAAGATAGATAGATAGATAGATAGATAGATAGATAGATAGATAGATAGATAGATATGAACAAATCAAGATATAAATATATATGAACAGACCAAGATAGATAGATAGATAGATAGTTGTATAGATATATACAGAATAAGATAGATAGATAGATAGATAGAAACAAATCAAGATATAAATACATATAGATAGATAGATAGATAGATAGATAGATAGATAGATAGATAGATAGATATGTAAAGAATGATATAGATAGATAGATAGATAGATAGATAGATAGATAGATAGATAGATATGAACAGACTAAGATATAAATAGATGAAACAGAGCATGGAAGAGATAGATTTTAATAGACTAATATAGATAGATAGATATGTAGAGAATGAGATAGATAGATAGATAGATAGATAGATAGATAGATAGATAGATAGATAGATAGATAGATAGATAGATAGATCAGAACAGGTCGAGATATAAATCGATGAATCAAACCAAGATAGATATGAACAGATATAGATAGACATTTACAGAATGATGATAGATAGATAGATAGATAGATAGATATAGATAGATAGATAGATAGATAGATAGATAGAACTGAACAAACCAAGATATATAGATCTGATCAGGCCAATGTCCAAATAGATGAAACTAACCAAGATAGATATGAACAGGTAGATAGAGAGATATGTAGAGAATGAGATAGATAGATAGATAGATAGATAGATAGATAGATAGATAGATAGATAGATAGATAGAATTTTTATTTATCTGAAGATAAGTACTAACTAATTTGGATACCATTGACATGATTTGTCGACAATTAGATAAGAATAGGCTGAATCGGGTGAATGGTCGATAGTAAAGTAACTGAATGATAGATGAAACCAAATCCTTTAAACATATACTTGAAGTTTAATAAAAAAAAATATTTAAAAAGTCAAATTACTTAAGATTGAATGAAACCTTTTCGGATATTTTTCCTCAGTAACGAATAAAAATGATAGAACATTTTTAAGCCTTACAAAAACTCTACAATTCCGCTTTTAAATGTATGCACTGCTTATATGCATTTCTTACACTCAACTAATACTGTCTTATAGCCTTCTTCCACATATGCTGTCATCTGTCCACCAGAAGGATTTTTATATTTATATACGTGAACATGGAATAAGTCGGCAGATACGAGCATGTAAAAAAATCGTTGAAAGAGAATTTAACAATTCCATCTTTTCAAGAGCAGAACAAATATATTTTTGTGCGTGTCAATACACTTACACACGATAGAAATATTCGGTCATTTTGAGGAGAATCGTTATGGGAGACGTTTTCCTTCTTATGGAATTCATATTCGTGTTTTTTTTTCTGTATTTTTTTTGTTCGTGAGCAAATAAGAACCATCCCCGTCTATAAAAAATTGTCTGTGATTCACAGCTACAGAGAAGGACTTACCAGAATTCGTTGATATGGATGAGTTGATTTTCTTTAGCGACATATCGAAATCTCTATCAGTTATTTAGTGCCAAAATTTATATAATTTTTATGCAATGTTACTCCATCAAAATACAAATATTTCATGCATAATTTTATACTTTCAGGGTAAACATGTTTCTTTTAGATATATCGTTTGTTAAGGAGGCACTGTGGAGTAATGGATAGCCGCTCTGATTGAGGAATCGGAGAGCCGAGTTCGAATTCCATTCGAAACCATGACATTTCCTTACGTTCTGATTCCCTTGGGAAAGGTATGAATCCTCTTCTCCTCCCATCTATGGTTAAATAGCAGGATAGACCGGATGGCAACTGGTCTAACGCAAAAAGAAATGGCAACCTACTATGGGAAAAATTTGCCACGTCAGTCATATATCGAAAGATACATGATCGCCTACGCGTGTATTATGATAACTAATTGACTGAATTTGTAGATCATAAAATGTATTGTTGGTATCTTTTTTAATTTATTGTTTCACTACAAAAATATATTACCGTATTTTTATATTTTTTGTGGTGTATTGATTATTCATTGATTTGTTTGTTTAACGGCATATGAATTTTTATGGATCAGTTAATGCCGAAATTTAATTTTCTTGGGAGATTGGAATTAATAAAAATATGATATATGTTATTCTGCTTTCACAATTGAATACATGGTAGATGATACTTAGCTTTTGTCCATATACGTTTGTGCAGAAATAAATGTGATTGTTTTATGTTGCATTTATATTTTGGAATGCAGTTTGATTTAAGAAATTATAGATTATTATATGGATTAATGTCCGGAAAAAAATTCTTTCATGTTGTTTGTTTCCTAGTCTTTTACACAGATTTAGCTGAAGACTCCATAAATATGTCCGTATTGTTTATACTTTTACTATAAATATGTATTGTGGGTAATTTTTATATAAAATGTGTTGCTGGTATTTTTACTATAAAAACGTATTTTTATACTTTCAATAGTGTTTTGCTTGGTGGGGGTCAATATTTTCGCATAACTGTGACTCTAACGGATGTTACCAAACCTGGTCATGGTGAAACTCAAAACCTTTAATCTCCAGATCAGAGGTCTTGTTGACGGATGTAAGAAAAAAAAATCTAAATCTAGCATTGACTCCTTCTTGTAATTATAGAAATAGAGAAAACTACTCAGTCGAGAGCAAATACAAGTCTACTAGAGTAATATACCAGTCAACCATTATTATCAAAGAAAATATGACAAATTATAATGTTTACATTGGAATTTCTGCGGGGGAATGGAAACAGAGAATCTATACCCATAGACACTCATTTAAAAATTCTAAAATAAAATACCAAACAACCCTTTCAAATGAATTTTGGGGATTAAAGGAAAAATGCCTGAACCCTCAGATAGATTGGAAAATTATAGGTTTCGGACATACTCCTAATAGTTTTAGAGATAGGTGCAGATAATGTTTAAGGGAAAATTACAATAATAAAATATAGTAATCAATGCGAACTGTTCAATCAAAAAAGGGATTTTGTGTTAAAATGTAGACATAGAAACAGGTTCAAACATATATAAGAATATAGATCTTAACTTATTACATACTAACTCCGAAAAAAACAACAGTCGTCCAACGGATGCAGCCCCCCTTTTGTTTAACTTTTTACTTTAATATCTTCTTCTTAAAGAATTCCAGGTACAACATGGTATTCCTAATAACCGATCCTGAATGGTATAGATAGATGATATATATGTTTGTGTGTGTGTATAGGCACGTATATATATGTGTATGTAAGTATGTGTGTTTATAGGCATATATATATATATATATATATATATATATATATATATATATATATATATATATGGTAGGATATAGAAATTAAAACATGGTATTCTGTCATTATAGTAATGACTTCTAGAATTATTTATGAGTGCACGCGAGATCGAGAAAAATATTAGATTCGTTATTTCAAATCGTCTGATCACTTTCGTCCAGACGGAAAATGTTAGATCCGTTGTAAATTCACCTCATCTCTGGTTACTCACGTCCCCTTTGCTACTACTGACAACTATTGCTTCTTCTTTTCGGAACGTGACTGATCAATTCTCTCCCCAATATCCTCCTTGTTATATGAGTAACCAATTTTTGTTAAACTTAGGAATGTAGATGCATGTTTTAACCACGGTGCTTGCAGTGTCATATCTGTAAAAAATATTACAATGGACTATGAAGACAGAAGCTACAGTATGAATATTGTTACCATTACTGAGGGCCTGAATGATTTTCCTCTCACCATTGCTCAGTTGGGAAGACTGGAGCTGACACAAAACGATTTTAGCCCGTTATCTTTCTAGCTGAATAACACAAAAGGGTTTTCCAGTGATTCTTACCACAAATGGTATCAAGATGGCTAAACTTCTTATCAGAAAAACTAGAAAAAAAAGTAACTCAATACTTTACGTTTTCTTTATTTTAGATTTTAAATATTTCGTGATATGTGCATTTATGCTGTATCAGGATTTGGACAATTTCGCTGTTACAACCGGCACACACACACACACACACACACACACACACACACACACACACACACATATATATATATATATATATATATATATATATATATATATATATATAAATAAATTACCAGGTTGGGAACTGGCGCGGGCTAGCTGCCCTTGATGAGGGTGGAAGGAGTCTCTCTGAGCTTCGATTAGAAATCCTTTTAGTGTTGGTTTTATGACAAAAAAAGACTTCAGATGGGAAGAAGAACTCATGACTGCTTAACTCGGTTATTAGATTACATGTGTCTGCCGAAAGACGTGTACTGGATAGTATTGACTGTGATCCGAAAAGGTTAAAACCCGCGATAATAATACATGAAGACTGTCGTTCGGAGTTTCCGTGGCGAGTCTTTTGCACCTTTAATTTTTTATCGACAGAACCAAAAAGTGTGCATGGTCCGACACCACTTGAATCTATCATTGTGCTGTTTTTTTTTACAACTACATCTAATTAGTTCCATACATATCCGCCTACTGTGAAAAATACTACGAAACAACATCAGCTTTATCCTAGCACTTGGAATGTACGAACTCTCCAGGACAACAACTCACACCAGAAAGAAAAACAGCTCTGGTCACATTGGAGCTAAAGAAGTACAACATTGATATAGCTGCACTGAGATGTAACCATCAGTCGACTACATGAAACGAGAAAGCAAAATACGACATCTAACAGTGTTCC